CAGTTGATGAATTCACCTTCCATGCAATAAACATCCCAAAACATGCGTTATCCTCCAAATAGAACTGTATAACTAGACATTATATATTTTTTATGTTGTGGTTGTCACATAGCTAAGATCTATCGACTCATAATGGATTTACGGGAGTTTTCATGAGTATAAAATACAATACTGTATATCCATTGGAAGTATGAATGAAGATGCAGCAATGTAATCTCAGGAAACACGACCACTCCACCAATTGGAGTGCTTTCAGGCATCTAGGGGCGTGGTTTGCATGTACCGGTAATAAAGACAAATTACTTTGTAAACAATGGCCTTTCCGGAAGAGATTAGGAAACTTTGCTTCAATCACCTTCCAGATTTTTCTTTCAAGTTTTTTTCCAAGCAGTTCTCATTGCCTCTATCTCACACTTATTTGGAAAACAAACTTGCTGGCCGGATTTAGTTTCTATATTACAATGTGAGGTTAATTAAAGTTGTGGCATGCTAAGGAGATAACAGCGTGTCAGCGGACAACTGACATTCCAGGACACAGGCTGCGAGGCAAAACACAAAGGGCCCCTTGAAGACATGTGGAGCCCCTTTTTCCTACCAGCGAGTACAGTTTCTCTGTCTACGCTGGTTGAATGTACATTAAAATATTTGTTGTGTTTACACAAGGCAAGCTCATCACGAAACTATCATTTCAGTTTAGATGTCAAATTTTTGTGAAAACGCCCTTAGAACCTTGTTGCTAACTGTCAATATCCAGCAGCTGGGTACACAGGACCCTCACGTTCATGTTGTTACAAACATAACATAGAGCAATTTACAAGTTCCTACACTAATCACAGTAGCCTGAACGCACCATCATTCATCTCCGAGTTAACGTTCCTCCACTTTTTAGCACTAGAATTAAGCCAATCATGCTACATACATGTTTACAACATTAGCATGTCAATAGTTGCAGCTAACACTTCTAACTACTAATTAACTAACTAACTAACTAACTGTGGGGTACACAGGACCCTCACGTTCATGTTGTTACAAACATAACATAGAGCAATTTACAAGTTCCTACACTAATCACAGTAGCCTGAACGCACCATCATTCATCTCCGAGTTAACGTTCCTCCACTTTTTAGCACTAGAATTAAGCCAATCATGCTACATACATGTTTACAACATTAGCATGTCAATAGTTGCAGCTAACACTTCTAACTACTAATTAACTAACTAACTAACTAACTAACTTTTCACAAGTAAATGTCGACTGGGGGCTCCTTTGGCAACTCACCAAAAATTGAATCGGTGAGGTCTCGCTCCAAAGACGTCACATAGCGAACTGCTGCATTCAACATCACTAAGCAAAGAAAGCCGAATCTCCAGGCTTTCATTGCTTTTGACAGCTTTGTTCAGAAAGTGTCTTCAACCGCGTCGGAAGATGCAGAAGAGTGAGTAAGTAAATCCTAGTTTGTTTGTTTTTTTTAAATGGAATAATCCCGTTTGGAGCGTCGTGTTGCGCAGAGCGCGCAGGCATGTGGTCCACCTTGAACCGAGTCCGCGTCTTAAATAGAACCTGAGCCGCCCCATTGGTTGTCAAACTCAGGGCGGAGAATGGAAACATACCCTGGTTTGTAAAGTCAATCATTACACTGTAGTGCGAGTGCAGTAAAAGCCCAGTCAGCGACATAATGACAAATTTAGACGTTGTTTAAACACCTGAGGGCTCTCAGTGAAAGCGTTTAGAACGCAGACCACCTACCTGCCTACATGCAGACTCCGCACAGGAAGGCCAGAGCCGGAATCGAACCCGTGACTTCAGGCGAACATGCTAATCAGTCGACCACCGTGCTCCCCATGAGCACAAATTGTGCTGCACAATATATTACATTTAAAATAGTATAATAAACGGCAGTATGGTGGTAAAAGATTACATTACATTAGTTAATGCCATATTTATACTGAAAAATTTAAATGATTTTATGATGGAGCACGTTGGGAAAAGTTGCCTGACAGTAAGGCAAAAACATGCTCTTTAGGTCAAATATACATTTTAAATTGTTCATGTGTTTATTTTATTTTATTGGATTTAATTTCTAGTTTTTGCGTTATTTTAATGTTTTTATTCACTACAGCACAGTAAATACAAAATGTACTGTACAGATATTTAACACATTTCCCATAATGCCATGGGGTATTGCATGTAAACTTGGAACTGCGGAAAAAAACCCCGATGAGCACATCCTATGGGCGTATTTGCCCCTCCCCATTATTTTAGTGCAGCGAGCCATCATTGGTAATTCAGAGAGCGAATGAACCACCTCATTTTTTATTACAAAGCCCATCTCCCACTTCCGCACACAGTGTGCAAGCTATATTCACAATCCGAAAAATGCATTTTACCAGGGTGCCTTACAGAGCAGATCTTTTTTTTTTTTTTTTTTTTTTTTAATTTTTTTAGACATTATATATTTTTTATGTTGTGGTTGTCACATAGCTAAGATCTATCGACTCATAATGGATTTACGGGAGTTTTCATGAGTATAAAATACAATACTGTATATCCATTGGAAGTATGAATGAAGATGCAGCAATGTAATCTCAGGAAACACGACCACTCCACCAATTGGAGTGCTTTCAGGCATCTAGGGGCGTGGTTTTGCATGTAATAAAGACAAATTACTTTGTAAACAATGGCCTTTCCGGAAGGGATGAGGAAACTTTGCTTCAATCACCTTCCAGATTTTTCCAGGCAGTTTTCATTGCCTCTGTACCACACTTATTTGGAAAACAAACTTGCTGGCCGGATTTAGTTTCTATGTTACAATGTGAGGTTAATTAAAGTTGTGGCATGCTAAGGAGATAACAGCGTGTCAGCGGACAACTGACATTCCAGGACACAGGCTGCGAGGCAAAACACAAAGGGCCCCTTGAAGACATGTGGAGCCCCTTTTTCCTACCAGCTCCTGCTGTTGCCATGCTATCAATTCACAAAAAAGCGATCAGAGCCAAAGTACATTGTTAAAAAAAAAAAAAAAACAACGAAAATATCATTTCAGTTTAGATATCAAATGTTTGAGAAAACGCCCTAGGAACATTGTTGCTAACTGTCAATATCCAGCAGCTGGGATTGATTTTTATGGTGTGGTGACACACTACTCTAGTTTTATCTTTCTCCAAAGTACCAAAAGTACAGAACGAAATGCTCACCAGAAAGGCAAACATGCCAGCTGCACGCTGTGTGTGGGCTCACAACATACATTGGATGGCAACACAAAAATGGACAAGGTCACGGCTGAAACGATGCCAACATGTTTGCTGACAGCGGAAGAGGACGAACAACCAACATTCCCCTCGAAAAGTATTCGATCGACAATGCATCATATTCAGGCAACCCGTTGAATGTCATTTTTGTTACGTGACTGCCCCTCCCTACATGACGGCCGTACACCCCTCCACCAAATTTTGTTTCCAGCACGTACCTGAAGATCAGCGGTGTCAAACTCACTTTTGTCCCGGGCCACTTTGGAGTTAGGTCTTCCCTCGGAGGACCGTTATGACAGTGAAACCATATAAATGTTTAATCGTCTCATCGTATTATTACTTGTACACAACAAATTGTTGGATGGCTAGTTTTGAAATCAGTCAACTACAATAGTTTGTTGAATTATTGTTCAAGTGAGTGAAAACAGGGAAGCAAAATTTTTGCAAAATTATGACATTATGAAACATGAAATTTGACATTTAGCTACAGATTTTATCAATGATCATGCAAGTTGACATGCTTGATTTGCTTCCGCGGGCCACATAAAATGAGGTGGTGGGCCGGATATTCAATGTAAAAGGCGGCACCTGAACAACTTGAAATACCCACCATGTTCCAATCATTTTGCTCACTTGTAAAGTGGGTTGCTGGTGATTAAGAAAAAGACGACATAATTGTAAATTCATTTTCAAGTCGGATTAAAAAAAGGACATTGTGGGTAGAAATCAGACGTTTATAGCTTCATCCAGGTAGGGGATTTACTGTATTCGCCACTTCCGCAGCGCTGCAACTACCGAGCTAGCTCCGACCAAACCAACACAGCTAGCTAAAAAAAAAAAAAAAGGGGGGGGGGTACGATGTATTTTCTTGAAGGTTTTTGGGCGTTTATTTTCAGATAAATAATGATTATGAACTGCTAAAGTAAAGACAATTGGCGTTTAATGTTGGAATGGACCCAAGTCTGGATTCCAAGTACTGTATGTGCAGTACATTTTTCGTATATTTGTGAAGTGGGAGCTCCCACGCCCGCCGCTGATCTAGTCAATTAATTTTCCATAGCGTTTTGTCGTCATTAGAGCTGGAGTCCATCCCTGATGAGATAGATTCGAATCTGCCCGAGTGGAGACCAATGGCTGATCACTCACAATTATTTGGCCTTCAATTCAATGACATCACACGTGTTATCACAACGCTGTATTCCACATTATGCTCTCTGGGCACAATACGCTAATAATCTTCTCCCCACGAGCACACGCCACGTGTTGCTGCAGCTGTTCCGCTGCAATTCTTCTGCGAACTTGAATAATTTTTCCTCGAAAATCTGTGGCCCGCTGATTTTCCCAGCCTTGTGGGATCTCACACCCCGCTGTACAAATGCCAGGTTTTTGCGAGACCGAGATTAATCATTTCAAAACTTTCCCCACCAATAATATGAACTAATGTGTACACAGCCCAATTGAAACATTTCTTGTTTCGTATATATCCTGCGGTTGCACCATTTTTTTTTTTGTTTTGCCTTGTTGAGAATGATTTTTTTTGGGGGGGGGGCACGAAAAGCAGCATGAGCAGTCAGAATGTTATTTTCTATCTTTATTAAACCACCTCGGGCTCTTTCTTATTACAGTGCACTGCAAATCAATTGATAAATGCGCTCAACAGCAGGCATGGAGATCCATTGGATCTCACGTTCAAACAGCTGGCATATTAAAGAATAATCACAGAACGGCTTTTTATAAAAATACAGACAACGGAAGCATGACAAAATATATTACAGCTTGATATACAAATATATAAATGTACATTCAATAAATATAATACGGTGTATTCTGGGCATGTGTTCTGGCTATGGTGTTGGAAGGTCCATGACAAAGTCCAACAGCTTGCATGTGTATTTTTATTTCCAGCAATCATGTAACTTGTGTGGCCTTTGAAAGTTAGGCAGCAATCGCAAACTGGGCATAATTGTTGTTGTTGTTGTTTGACAAAAGCGTTTTCAAGTGACCTGTGATACAATAACCAAAAGGCAATCCAATCCAATGAACATAATTCGGAAGTCCAAATATAAAACAGATTTTTTCTTTATTTTTTTTGGTTTCTTTTTTTTTTTTATATATATATATATAAAAATGGTATTTACAAGACCAATGTGATTCAGTAGATAGTCAATAACTCTTTGGTCCCCGTGGTTTGTTGGCGGTTAGTAGTTTGGCGAAGGGACAAAATCAAAAAAAATCAGCGTTTTTCATTTTTACGACAAACACTACAAAAATGTGCCTAAATTACCCCTCTCACGATTAACTACTCAAATGAGCAATAATTCAAAAGTCATTCAGGCACAGCAAGTGTGTATAAAGAACATACAGTTAAGCATAGACACACGAAAAGCAAACGTGTTCAAATGGGCACATCATCACTTGTGTAACATTTTTTTTTCTCCAAGGTTCAGAATCTAATTTCTATGCAGTAAGCGTGTGCTTTGATTGCCAATTCCCATGAAGTTTTGTGCTTTTGTCCCTCTTTGGCTGTGCACGTTCATCTTGATGATGTGCAGAACGATGATTATGATGATGATGATGATGATGGTGGTCGTGGTGGTGGTGCGAGTGCATCTTTAAGCGTCAGTCTGACCAAACAGACTCCCCTGCGTCTTGATTTTGTGCATCCTGCAGAAAGGGGAAGACAAACTAATGAACAGCTGGAGTTGCCAAGCCTACTGAAATCAAATCTGTGTCAAATTTGGTTTGATATCTGATCAGACCCTGCGCAGACCCTGAGAGACAATTGGAATAAAATGATGCCCATGATAAGAAAAATGCAGGTTGGAAAAAAAAAATTTCCTCTTGAACTTACAATCTTTCTTTACGACTCAGGTTATCTTCTTTGGATTTGACAAACACTGCAGCTTCTCCTCCTCGAACCAGGTCAGAGAACTCCGCTTCCTTTGCACGGAAGCTCACCCTGCAATGATCATAATAATCATAATTTAAACTGCAAGCATTTTCATGGTCAATCGTTGAAACAATCACCAAACTTATTATAACATGTTGTAGGCAAATGAGAAAGTAAAATCCCAGCAAACAAAACAGAAAAGATCCTGACTGTCGGTTGAAGTTGTAATATCACCATGCACCACTAGATGGCAGATGTCTTAGTTGTGTTTACATTGGGCCTTTTACTGCCCTAACACTACAACCTGAGTAGGCCTAATATATATATATTTTTTTTTTGCAGATTTGGAAGGATATGCGGGGACATTCTACTTCGATAATATTTCAAATTTGAGTGAATCAAAATCAGTTCTTGCACTTAATGTTTGTTTGCCGTTCAGCAGTTTTGTGCCGTCCTTGAATGTGTTGTGTAAGATATTCTTTTGCACTGAGGAAAAAAAAAAAAATAACCCACAGAATGTGGTTATTTGTATTTGCTTCAAAACTTTAACTGGTTAGGATACTGGATCTTCGAGTACATGCATTGAAGAATGTCTTGTGAAATTTTAAATATGTATTATGAAGAGCAATCGTAGTGATCAAAAATTGTGGCCATTCCTGATTTAAGCCATCAGTGCAGTAGTATGTATAATGATGAAATGCTCTTTCCACAAGATGGCAGAAAGTACAATGGACCCGTGGATTAACATGTTACCATTCATATGACAGAAATTTCACGAGCAATTAAATTTGAGATGAGAGCATTATTATTTTAGTATGTATACTTTCTATGTCATTTTTGTTTTGCTGTGAGATTTTGCTCATGTAAAATATGTGCCTTGGCTCCCATAAAAGGTTGTGAAACACTGCTTCAGTGTATCTGTTTTCAATCAGGCTCAGTTGGACGAATTCCACAGCAGTAGTTTGCCAAAATGTTACCCAAAATGGTGGCATTAACTCAAAATGGCAGACTTCCCGTTCAATTTCAGACATGCTTCCTTGAAACCTTTTTTTTGTGTGTGTTCTGTCGTGATGAACATGTCCACTCAATTTCAGGTTGGTTGGTGAAACTGCTGCCTGGGGAGAGTTACTCGCATAAATTCATTTCACTTCGATTCATTCAAGAGACGGCTCGTAATTTGAAAAACCCGTGCACGCATATGTCACGGGGCCACATTCTGTCTGCTTTTTGTGACATGTTGTTTCGTAGTGTTTGTTAAATACACTATATGTCTGAGCCTGGGCTATAAGAGTCTTGGATTTTTTTTCATTAAAGTTCATCTTTATTTTGTTTTGACTTTTATCCTTTAAATTCAGTTAGTTTTAATTTGTTTTTGCAGTATGGTTTTTTTTTTAGTTTATAGTTTTGTTTCTGGGAAAAGGCTTTGTTTTAGTTCAGTTTTCGTTAGTTTTAGTATTAGTTTTTTTTTTTTTTAATATGGAGTATTTGTTGAGTGCAAGATAGAAAAAGGATACTAAATATTGTGTACTACAATAAAGTAAATTCTCAAACTACTGTTTGACCTTCTTCTGGATGGACATTATCAATCATGAAATTAAAACATTTAAAATACATTTACATTTTCACTATAATGAAAGTTAGTTTTAGTTTTATAAACAGAAGGTGTATTTTCAGTTAGTTTTTTTTAAAGCATTTTCTTTTTTATTTTATTTTGTTCAATTTTTTGCTCAACTTTAATTTGAGTTGTTTCATTCCTTTCTATTATCTATCATAACCTTGCTCTTGACTCATCAAAAGTTGCCAACACTGGACGAAAGGGACTTACTTAGACTGGGTCTCGCCCGACTTGATTCGCAGCTTTCGGATGTAGAACTTGTTGCTGCCCCGCCAGTCCGGCCAGCTGAAGATGGAGTCCTTCTCCCAGCGCAGCTTGACGATCATGAGGTCTCCGATATCCACGTCGGTGGTGATGAGGAAGGACACGGTGCTGTTGTGGTTCATGACTGGCCTGCAGGGGATGGACGGGGGATGGGGGAGTTAGGTGGGTGAGCGCTCGGATGTCATCGACATTTTAAATTTGGAAGCAAAAATGTGGGCAAGATAAAACACCGTTTTATCCATGGCAGATAGTTTGTATACATTAAATAATAATGTTTGCTTTAAATCCAGGTTTTGAAGAGTATTGTTGATCCTTGGATAGTCATCACAAACAAAGCAATGCAATATATTTAATCTATATACAGTTTCATATTTCTGTTAATATATTATTTCTTCATGTATAGTTGTCACTCAACTGCTGGCATTTATTTACATGTATCATTACTGCTGACTATACTGGTCAACAAATCTTTACGCATTTTTTAAATGAGTGATACAAGTAAAATTTTCAAGATTTTATTTTGAATTTTTTGGTGCTGATTCCAAATCTGCCTTTTTTCTTCTCGAGCACATCAATCAGGTTTTCTGACTCATGATATAATCGCAATAATATAATATGTAATATGTTTTGTAATATTTATGAGCTAACGGTTAGGGCCAGAAACAGGTGAAATTTTGCACTTAAACGTCACAGCTAAAAATCACAAAATCCGTATACAACTTTTAAAAGTCAAACTTGGAAAAAAAAAAAAGCAAATATCTCAACAATGATGTCCTGTGAAGACATGTTTTGAATCGGCGTCCAAAATATATTCAGGGACACATTATGCCATCACATCTGATTAAAATGTGCTGTTCTTGATGCTCGTCACATTGACTTCTGTTTGCATAATTTATTCATGTAGTTTGCCATTCACATCCGCATAGAGTATTATGCACAGTACCCATTTATATTCTGCCACTGTACATACGTACATTGATATTGTGGATTGTTCACTGAAAGTTAAGTGTTGCTAATCTTGAGTGCGGCTAATTTAAGACTTAAACCCTTTCATGCACCCTGTAACCTGATAACATGATAGATAAGCTGTCCACTGTAGTAACCTCTGTCCCTGAAAGGCTTAAGAATAAATCCATTTAAAAAAAATAAATAAATAAATAAAATAAATGCACCAGCATTATTGTACACAATCAAGTGTCACATACGTACAGGACGAAGGATATGTCTTCTTTCTCTCCATGGGTTCCATACAGGGAAACTTTTATGGGCTGCTCATTGAAGGTCAGTCTTCGGTCGCTGAACATGTGCATCTTCACTTGGTAGTGGAAAACTGAAAAGACATGCACATTATATGTTACACTTAGTAGAATTTAATCAGTTGGCACATTTCAACGATTCCGCATCTGCTGTGATTTCAAATGACAAAAGCTTGAATGCAAGTTTCTGTAGCTTTGTGAAAGGAAGTGGATTTTTCTGTTCCACATTTGATATGAACACTTCTCAACACACATTCCTACCTCAAGCAGTGGACAATTTTGGAATAAGATGTCCTGTGCCACCCCCGGGTCGCTAAAATATCTCTTCACGTACCCTCCTGAATACTTCCAGTTTAATGTCGCCTTTGAGTGTCTGAGCGTAAGCTGTGGTCCAAATCAGCTCTTGTGCAAATGTGCTCGTTGTGTTTGTGTTTCACTGTTCTCCATGTGTTAGTAAATGGCTGAAAATTGCATCGGTGACTGTGGATTCCCATGGCACAAAAAGACTCGAGGAGTGCCACAAAAAACACGTTTTATTAAAAGTCATCCCCAAAATGTAACAGCAGGCAACACTTCCCCCGATGTTTACCTTTGTAGGGCATCTTTTCCCGAGTCTTGAGGTACATCATGGCACTGCGTGCCGTGCGGACCTTGTTGATGTTGTAGCCGATTTTGTTGCAGCGGTTCTTGCGGCAGCTGAGGCACAGGCCCTTGTTGAAAGACTCGCGCGAGTTGCAGCGGTAGGCCATGCTCTGTTGCTGCGTGTTGAGGAGGGAGTCGATGAACAGGTGGATGGAGCGCTCGTGGGAGCACTTGACAAGTTGGTCCATGTCTGCTCATGTGACACACACACGCACACAGGGGAGAGATTTTTGCTTCATCCAAAAAAATTTAGATTAGAAGGAAAAAAAAAGCATTCTTTTCATGTACACTGTCATGATGGATATAAAACGTTACTTTTCCATGACAAAAAAAAAAAAATAAGATGTCCTGTGCCACCCCCGAGTCGCTAAAATATCTCTTCACGTACCCTCCTGAATACTTCCAGTTTAATGACGCCTTTGAGTGTCTGAGCGTAAGCTGTGGTCCAAATCAGCTCCTGTGTAAAAGTGCTCGTTGTGTTTGTGTTTCCCTGTTCTCCATGTGTTAGTAAATGGCTGAAAATTGCATCGGTGACTGTGGCTCGCCTTTCCCACGTGAGGGCATTACTCTAAGTATACGTTAAAAAAAAAAAAAAAAAACGATACCAAAAACTATATAGTAGGGATTCCCATGGCAAAAAAAGACTCGAGGAGTTCCACAAAAAACACGTTTTATTAAAAGTCATCCCCAAAATGTAACAGCAGGCAACACTTCCCCCGATGTTTACCTTTGTAGGGCATCTTTTCCCGAGTCTTGAGGTACATCATGGCACTGCGTGCCGTGCGGACCTTGTTGATGTTGTAGCCGATTTTGTTGCAGCGGTTCTTGCGACAGCTGAGGCACAGGCCCTTGTTGAAAGACTCGCGCGAGTTGCAGCGGTAGGCCATGCTCTGTTGCTGCGTGTTGAGGAGGGAGTCGATGAACAAGTGGATGGAGCGCTCGTGGGAGCACTTGACAAGTTGGTCCATGTCTGCTCATATGACACACACGCACACAGGGGAGAGATTTTTGCTTCATCCCAAAAAATTTAGATTAGAAGGAAAAAAAAAAGCATTCTTTTCATGTACACTGTCATGATGGATATAAAACGTTACTTTTCCATGACAAAAAAAAAAAAATGAAACTTGAGTGTTGACGTGATGCATCTGGACGGAAAGACTAAGGTCTCGTATGACGGGGAGGAGCTAAGTTTAGCCTGGGTTAGTAGCGGAAGTTACGGAGAGTCTTTCCCGTGTAGCTGCGCACTTCCAGTGCACTTTTTCAAACTCAAATAATCTACAAGCCATTTATTTTTAAAGCTAATGTAGTGAGATGATCTTGAAGTGAAAATATTTTTACGGGGGTGTCAAGCACTCCCGGAGGGAAGAGACTTCTGTCAAGGTCGAACAATTAATCCCTCCTAGTAACATGCACAAGAGAAATAGCATGTAAGATTGTTTTGCTCTTAGTAAAAGTTTTTTTTTTGTTTTTTTTTTAAAAAGAAGAGGGAAAAAAACAACAGACTTGAGTGTTGCAATTTCTCATGTGGCAGAGGCCAGGGTCCGACTTCAGTGCTCTCGGTGGTGGTAACGTGTCATAGAAAGTGGTTAAACCCAGTGAACAATTTCGGAGAAACCTTAAATTTTGTATTTTCACAGCCAAGATAAAATCAGCAGGTTTCCACAAAAGTGGATAGTACATAATACCTGTACAGACGAAAACATAATCTCCAGTCTGGTTCTTTTAATTTAGTGCACGTGACAAAAAAAAAAAAAACCCGAAAGCTTTTTTCGCATGACTCAAAAATCTAATCCGATTTCGACTCCTTGTACATTTTGTATCAAATCCGACTAGACACCCTTGAGAACAGTTACCGCCAGATGATATCACTCACTTTCTGCTCTGCTAGGTGAATGCTGTACAGTCAAGTGAGTGAAGCAGCAAATCATCGAACAAGGCTTTCATCTCAGCACAAGCCAAACAGCCCCGTGTGATCTACTGTAAATTCTTTATGTTGAGAGACCAGAGAACAAACGTGTCTTGCGATTGCATGTGAGAAGCCAAAATCGTCGGTGGCATAAAATGAATAGCCTCCCCCGCCTACATTGTTTTTATTGGAAGACCATCTAAGCGGTGTCTCATTGTTTCAACAGCTGGAATGTGAATCCAGGTTCAAGATGTAAATACTGCACAATGCAAGTCCGAATGTAAAGAAGCTTATGGTCTTAATACAAAGCCGATGTGAGCGAGCAGAGGAGAGTACAGGACTTACTTTGCAGGCCCTTGAGGCCTTCCAGGGCAATCCCCTTCAGAGTGTTCTGGATGTCGCAGCCCGGTTGGAAGGCGCCTCCGTTGGGGTAGATGTCGATGTGGCCCACGGGCTTCTGGATCCCGATGCTGCGGCCCGGCGAGCCTCGGGTGTTGGTGTGCAGGACGTCCACAAACTGGGCGTCGTCTCTGGACAGTGTGTTCTGGTCTTCGGCGTGCTCGAATGTGGGACCGGCGGGATCCAGTCCTGCAATACAATACATCTTTATTCATATAGTGATTCCATAACAGCTGCAACTGTAAAAAAAAAAAAAACACTTTCCATAACATATAATGTGGTGATTGTCATGTCACAGCGTTACACAGACAACGTTGTCAACTGCTTTGACCTGTTTTCTAGTCTGGAGAACCACTTAAGTGCAGAGAATTGGAAAATCATGGTAAGCGGGTCAGAGGTTTTAAAGATGGATTACTGGCAAATAAAGGATTGGGCCCACTGGTTGGCACTAACAGTGCATGTGCATACATTTACATACTCGGAATGTCAGAGCCAACAGATTATGTTTGACTGGTATGCAGGGTTAGCAAAATTATTGCTTCCAGTCACGCGTCGGTAAAGTGTCCCACAATTCATAAGGCAGACCGCCACTGTGAACATGGGAATTGACAAAGATAATAATGCTCGGTTTTGATTGACACTGGAGATTGACAATGTGGGAAATGTACCTTCAATTTTGTGAAGAATTACGTTTACCGTGAGAAAAAGAAAAAAAAAACATTTTACAAATCCACCTCTATCTGACAATCTTTTTTTAGAATACATTTTCAAGATAAAATATTAAGACACTTCCTGAAAACGATATTTTTCTAAGGGGTCGGTGTGCTGTTAAAGTTTTCTAAAGGGGAATATGTGGATTGAATAGTAAAAGTTGGGAACACTTGTGTATGGAAAAACTCGAAATTGAGCATGAATATCTTTTTTAGGCTATTTTTTTGTGTTGGACCTAATTAGAATATGTGGGTAAAATACACTTTTTAAACACATTGTAAAGGTATTTGAACATGAAAAAAAAAAAATCAAGCATTGAATTTATAAAAAACATTGTTTGTATTGGAGTCTCTGTGCGTTAGATGTGCCTTTAAGAGGCGGGGCCTTCTGAAATGGTGTGTGACATCAACAAGTCTGCAAGTGAGTGTCGAGGCGTGAGCTGTGGCTGACAGCAGCAACCACGTGAGTGAGTGCATTCGGTTTATTTGTTCAGTTGTTCTCTTAGAGTTAAAAAAGCAACTCAAAAGTGCATCGGCCACTATGGGTCTCCTTTCCCACACGTGAGGGCATTAGAGAAAGTAAATATACAGTAAAAACTTGTGCTTAAAACAGTTATTCTTAAAAGTGTAGTATGCAGGCTCCCTCTAGTGGTAAGAGAAGAATCACTGAATCCAATGTTCGACCAATGCATAACATAACGGTTATCTTCAACTTTTTATTCATCCTGTTCAGTGTACAGTATATACGTGAAGTAAAGCTCAGTTGTATTTAACTTGAAAGTACAATACATTTGCATTCATCTTTTACAACTGTTTTGTTTTAATATATTTATTGCGGTACAATTTCAGATCATTAAGTGCAGCGTTAATGTTCAAAATCTGCATAGCGGCTGACGATAATATTGTTGTTTTATTATTTGTTTTATATTTATTATTATTTTTCGAAGAACACCTGAGAGATGTAAATGATGAAACATTATACCTTACATTGTGCGATTGAGTATATTGAACTCCTGAACGGCTATATCCGCATGAATAAGTAGTAATGGACATGTTCGGTTTACCTGTGATCCTGCTGATCTTGTGGTCGGTGAGGTACCCCGCAATCCCGGCCACGTGCGCCCCCAGACTGTAACCCAGCAGGTGGATCTTGTCCCAGGGAAGCTGCAGTTCTTTCTGAAGGGGTCACGACAGCAACAACCGACAAAGAGACTACACTTAATATACTCGCACACTTACATGAGGATTAGAAACTAATAACTGGCAGTAAGTACGAGGTCCGAAAGGCCCCGTGGCTACTTGTGTTTACAAGCTTTACTGTTGTTCGGAATGTAATTGGGGATTAAAGGAATTGAGTAGTCTGCCCAAAAAATATAAACTTCCACTAAGGAGTCATGCAAAAGTAAGGGGAGAAAAAAAAAATAAATTCCAGTCATTGCTGGAACATTTTTGAAAACGTATGTCACGCTTAACGAAAAAGTGATCCTTGTAAAAGAGGCTTGTAAATAGTCTTTAGAGGAAAATCACAAGATGCAGAACAACATTTTAAAGCACAGCGTCATTAACTAATAATTGGTCACATGAACATAATCTGTTGTAATACTTGGAATGTCAACGCTGGTCCATTATTGCGATATCTTACAAGTCTGCTCATCTTCAACCAGCATTAAAGTGCTAAAGTTGTGCTAGCTGTGCTAAAAAGTGAATTAACAGCACTTTAGTTCTTTTAACGTTTGATAGATTTCTTGGTAATTGCCACATAATTAAAAAAAAAAAGGTACAATCCAGTTGTCTTCCATTGGTGAAATTTACTTTCAGTTGTGCTATTTAAGTCACATTGCCCCCACCCGATAATTCAAAGAAATGGTTTGTTTATTTTACAATACTGTCCGTGAACCTTGATGTAGCCTGCTAACATAAAAAAACAAGCACAAATATATACTCTCCACTGTGACTTTTGAAAAGTGCCTCTATTTATTTTCTTTTCTGCCATTTGAGTCACAATGGAAAGCATCCTTTCTGGAAAAAAAAAATATAGTAAAATGGTACATCAACCGTACTGAATGTTCTTCATTTCATTGTATTAGATTGATGGCCTACCAAGGCTTTTTCTAAATAGAAATATTTTCTCAAATTCTGACTTTACTCTTATGTTAGTCTAGTTTTTGTTTTTTGCTGGTAGGTCAATTATCTCATTGCGAGGTACAGTATGTAAGGTCCTTTTTAAACCAAAGGGTCCCAATTCAAAAAAATAAAAAACAAACCCCCACACTATACATTCATTAGGTGATTTCATGTTCATCCACGTTTTAATACACTGGTTATCTCACTTGTATCCAGGTAACAAATTTGGCCACGTCTCGGCCCGCCAACTTGGTGTAGGCTGCGGAGGTTGAGTAGTGCTGGTTAGCGCGCGTCAGCCAGTCCACCACGATCACGTTGGCGTTGGGTACGCGCTCGTACAGAGCCGACACCAGTTTGGGCACCCAGCTCTCAAACATGCCTGTTACCTACATCGTATCAACACACACACATGCAAGAGTGAGGTCAGCTGGCTAGTGGTTGGATTGATTTCCAAGTGGCAATATGCAATCATGTGTCATTTGGTTTACAATGAATTCCAGTTTAAAATGGGGGAACACCTCCCCAAAGGTAAGAATCTGCAGACAAACATTTTTTCCTGTAGCAGCACTTGTGAAGTAAATAAGGTGGTCCATATACGTGGCATAAATAGATCTTTTTGGCTCTACATTTCCTCACAACTGCAGTTGACTAGCAACCAGTCCAGGGTGCACTCCCTCGCTCACTCAAAGCCAGCTAGGATAGGCTCCAGCTCACCCATGACCCTAGTGAAGATAAATGCCGTAGAAAATGGATGGATTTCCTAACAAACCTCACCAAACAGCAATCCATCCAGTCAGGCGGCATTCCAAATAAAACCTCATTCCACATGTCGGGTAGGGGGTCAAGAGGTGTTTTGTTGTGAATGTGCACGTACCGTCCAGCCATGGATGATGACAAATGTCTGCGTTTGCGCATTGAACTTGCACTCCTGGATGGTGTCGGGCCTCCCGGCCACAATGTAGCACATGTCATCATCTGGAGTGTCGGCCGAGCGCAGGGAGAATTTGGACACGATGTCTGTGTAATCCGTGAGCCACTCGGTGGTGGTGACAGGCAGGGAGGTGGGGGTGACGCTGCCGTTCACTGTTGTAACACATGCAGACACACTAATATGAGAGGTCATAGGGGCACAAAAGACCTGCACAGTGTATGATTAATCAGGTCCAATCCTATTTTTTTTTTTTTTTTTCGGCCGAGCGCAGGGAGAATTTGGACACGATGTCTGTGTAATCCGTGAGCCACTCGGTGGTGGTGACAGGCAGGGAGGTGGGGGTGACGCTGCCGTTCACTGTTGTAACACATGCACACACACACTAATATGAGAGGTCATAGGGGCACAAAAGACCTGCACAGTGTATGATTAATCAGGTCCAATCCTATTTTTTTTTTTTTTTTAGTCATGCTTACATACTTTCTAGTTTTTTTTTTCAACTAGATTCGGTAGTTTTTCGTAATTGTGTTCATTAAAGAAAAGCAGTTTTAGTAGCTTTTAAGTGAAAACGGTTTATTCATTACTTAAAAACCATGCCTGTATTATTGTGAGATACCCTTTATAGGTTCCACGTAATCCTAATCTGTAAAAGGCAAAAGCATTATGTTGAGTGTGTGTGTGTGTGTGTGTGTGTGTGTGGGCGCGCGCGCGTGTGTGTGGATGTTTTCTTTTTGGTTC